CACACCCACACAGTCAAGCAGACATTCCTTGGTGATGTCAAGCCCCGATCAGTCCAGTCTTGAGCCAATGCCATTCGGCATCAGAGCATTCGTCGATGTATCATGTTCACTAGGGCGCATGCTAGGAATGGTTGCATTCAACGGAGAGAGAGAGAAGAGAGACAGACCTTCTCTAGCCATTTTGGCTCAAGTCGGAACCCACCCCCGGCTTGAGCTACACGACATGAAACTTTGGTTCGAGACAGTTACGCAGTAGATCTTCGGCGGTACAAATCTGTGCACTTCTCCGAACCGCCATGGCACAGGCGCACCGACACTGTATCGCAGAGCTTCTTAAACACGCTCAACATGAAGAGAAATCAACGACCCACCAACGAAGCTGAACTTTGAACTTGGGGTAGGGGGAGACACTGAAACCTTGGTGTGGTGTCGAGCACGGGCGCGCCTATGTGCGCCTGCTAGCAGGGAAAGCCGGAACCTCGACCACTGCTGAGGGGAAAGCCGGCCGTGGCGACGAGGTTTGCGTAGCCGGCCCACCACCGGGGGAAACCCATTCTAGAATCTAATCAAGCGGGGTGGGCCGCTTTGTCGAGGCAGCGGCGAAACGGGTTGCATGCTCTTCATTACCACACAGAGGTGTGTCACTCCTATGCACAAGCCTAGGGGAGACCGTTGTGTTTTTTGCTGCCACTTTTACCTTGGAGCACAGCCTCTCCGCTGACCAACGCCAAAGAGTCAACCTTCAGCCGTGCTTGGGGGACGATGGGTACCTCACCGTCGCCAACTGAGCCAGCCGGAACTGAACCAGCTCGTTAGAGGAACGCTTCCACTAAGTTTTGCACAGCGGACTTGGCAGCCACAACTTCTTCGTGCTTGGGGGAGCTCGGTTGCTGTAGGTACTGGGGATTTTCCATAGAGGGCGCGGGGATGAGGCCAGGATGCGCGCTAAAGTTCACGGTCGGGGGGGGATAACAGCAACACGAGCTGTCACCCGTACAGACCTTCGGACTGAAGAACAGTCCAAAGCCTGTACCTTCTGAACCGAAAGAGGTGGGGGGCACCATGGCACGGGTCCAGCTCGCTGGACCTTGGCCAGCATCAAGCAAGCAACAGAGAGAGAACGAGCGAGGGCCGACTAACCAGCGCACGCCCGCGTGCGGAGGGGTAGCACCCACTGCTTGTTTTGGCTGTGTGGAAGAAGAGCGAGCGCCCCACTGCAATAATCATCTCAGTGGCCTCGCACGGCAGGTTTGAGCCATTGGAGCTTCAGCTCGGGCGACCTCCCATCCAACGTCAAGAAGAACGACATCCGACCCGAGGTTTGTTTCGCACTGTTCGGGGATTCCTATGATCGCCAACGTAGTATACATATATATATATATATGTCCGAAATACATGCTTGTTTAAACTTCTACATGTTTAACATGTTATATATATATATATATATATATATGCTCACACCCCCCCCGAAGACCTACCGCGAGGTGCTTCGGCTAGCAATGGGTGGTAGAACATGTAAGGATTTAAGGAAACCATTAGGATAAAATACGCTCATACAGAAACAATAGAAACATATATCGTGTATAATTAATAGCTGAATACACTGTAATGACCTACGACGGCGCGACATCGCCGTTGGCGGATTTGGGCAGGCTTCAATGCCTGCAATTGTTTAATAGGATACTGCCTGAATGATCCAGATATTCATAATTCTGGTCATACAATGACCATAGGCATATCCCGAAGACAGGACCAAGACAGAACAGTGTCTGCATCCTACGTAAGATCGTTAGATGCGCCGGATAACTTTGTGTTTGTCATTGTCTGTTTATAATTTTGTTCATGTACTCATAGCATAACCCAAAGACGGGACCAAGACAGAACGATGTGGGCATCCTACCTAGGATCGTAATGAGGGTTACATGTGCACACATGTTTATTCTGTGTGAAGCTCTTAGATTACTCATGCACCAATGTGTATAATAGCTATTACTAGTGCGAATACTAATACTGATACTAAGATTTCTACTCCTACGAATAAGGATATTACTGTTCACAACATAATAGGCTTAATGGTTAATACTAGTATTAAAAATAACACTACTAATGCGAATAGTAGTGCTGATGGGAATATTGACACTCCTGGGGATACTAATACGCATATTAACTGTTCTCAATATGAATATTAATAGTACTAGTTGTTTGGAATACTAATATTTGTCCCAAAATGCATACCAATACTCAGGCTACTGCGATTATACATAATAGGACATTAATATGGGTATTCGTATCAATACCAGAATTACTATGTTTTCGTAATAGTATTCATTACCATTTCTTTTAAACTAAGGTCAGCTTTCCTTCGAAATCATTCATATGCGCATCAGAACTCATCTTAATACTCGTACTGATATGAATTACTATGATTACAAATATTTTTACGAATACTGATACTCTCAGTAATACCGATACTAATATGAATACTAGTGTTCCTACGAATATCAAAAAAATACCCATATTGATAGTAATTTTAGTATTTATTTGATACCAATATACACGCAAATGCTAACATTAATTCTAATATGCACATAAGTGATACAGTTCCTCCGGACATTAATGCGCATAGTACTATTAATTATTCTCAGAATTTATATTCATATTGAGAAACCTATACTAACATGAATAGCAGTATTACCATTTGATACTCCAGCTAATACGGTTATGCATAGTATGAACAGCGATAATGCTATTGATACCAATATTGATGCTCCTACGAATACTAATAATCACGTTCAAACCAAATGCAAAAAAAACAGACACATCAATGTACCAAAGAATCTGTATTTTCACATACCAATAAATAATATACTCGTATACTACTATTCCAATGTTACCATAGACTTACAAATACAGAATATACTGATATGAGACTATACACGGGTTAATATTAACGCTAAGAATAACGCAGAGGCTAAGACCAAGACTTATACGAATACTAAAACTCACGCTAGACATTAACACTACCATTAGTACACCTATTGTATAGACTTATATTCAGACTAGTACTAACGCTGACATTGGCATTGACATTGACACTGACACCAACACTAACAATAACATTAATCAACACGCTAGAAAGCAGATACTAATACTAACACTAATTAATGCCTAATGCAAATATGAAGACTACTGCGCGTAAACAACGAAACCATCTCCGATCAAGCATGCTGCGCGCTGTGTTGGCTCTAAGGCTCCGAGAACCAAAAATCCAAAAAACCAAAAATCCAAAACCTTTGTGAGGGGCCCGAAACTTTTGGATTTTTTGGTTTTCCTAGGGTTTTTTTGGTTTTCCAACAAAAAACCAAAAAAAACCAAGGTTTTTTTGGTTTTCCAGCAGAAATCCAAAAAAACGCAGGTGTTTTTTGGTTTTTCACCGGAGACACAGCAGAAAAACCAAAAAACCCTTGAGTTTTTTTGGTTTTCCACCGAAAATCCAAAAAAAGCAATGGTTTCGCCAAGGCAAAACCCAAAAAACCAAAAAAGACCTAGGAAAACCAAAAAATCCAAAAGTTTCGGGCCCCTCAGGAAGGCTTTGGATTTTTGGATTTTTGGTTTTTTGGTTTCCGCCGAAACACCACAAAACCAAAAATCCAAAAAAACAAAAATCCAAAACCTTTGTCACTGGGTCGAAACTTTTGGATTTTTTGGTTTTCCTAGGGTTTTTTTGGTTTTCCAACAAAAAACCAAAAAAATCCAAGGTTTTTTTGGTTTTCCAGCAGAAATCCAAAAAAACGCAGGTGTTTTTTGGTTTTTCACCGGAGACACAGCAGAAAAACCAAAAAACCCTTGAGTTTTTTTGGTTTTCCACCGAAAATCCAAAAAAAGCAATGGTTTCGCCAAGGCAAAACCCAAAAAACCAAAAAAGACCTAGGAAAACCAAAAAATCCAAAAGTTTCGGGCCCCTCAGGAAGGCTTTGGATTTTTGGATTTTTGGTTTTTTGGTTTCCGCCGTCGTATCGTATGGTCTCTTTTAATGTTTCTTGCTTAAATACAGGCATATGAATATGAAAGCGGACATGAGTAGGCACGACGTTGTAAAGAGACATGACCTCACATCAGCCATGATAGAGAAGGTATCATCCCCAAAAATTATGCAAAACACGAATCGTATGCCAAACGCGAATCCCACGCAAGAAAAGGTTTTGACGGTATTTACAATGGAAAAGAGGCCGAGGTAGGTCATGGGGGGGGGTGTGTCCATATATATATATGTGCACGTGCATATATTTGCACACACACACACACACACGCACAGAAAGACGCGCACACACGCACGCACTCTGCGTCTTTCTCGGTGATACGCAATATCACGACGACGGCGATGACGATGGTGATGGTGATGATATGTGATGATGATTGTTTGGAGACGAAGACGATCATGGTGATCGCGATGATGGCGGTGATGATGATCACGACAGCGATGGTGTTGGTGCTAGTGGTGATGACGAGGATGGTGATGCCGATGCTGCAGATGCCGCCTACGGCTGCTGTGGCTGCCGATGGTATCAATGGTGGTGATGCTGGTGCTGATGATGATGGTGGTAACGATATGATGACCCTGTGTCGCTGTTGCCTGAGTGGTCCTGCGTAGTTTGTTGAGGCCATGAATCTCGAAGCCTTGCCAACAGGTTACTCTGCAGAGCCCGACAGGGTTGCAAAACAAAAAAAGGCCGCGACTTAGATACCACTACTTTGATGAGTGTTGGTTTTGCAGGAATCACAACCTAGACCTCACTTGCCCTGGCCATCTCTTGCCGCTTTGTCTACTGTCACTTATGATGTGCCAGGTGTCTGTCGAAGCTGGACATGCAATGATTGGCCAAGCCGTCTCCGACTACTTCACTTCCTTGTTTGGCTCTGGTTCGATCAAGCAGGCAGCGCAACAGAAGATAGTTGACGCGGCAGCTCGACTGCAGCGAGCTTGGACGGCCGAGGTGATTGGGATCAGGGCTATGCTGGTATATTCTGGACTACTGCTGAGGTGAAGAAGACAGGGGAGATCCTGGAACCTTGGAGACGGAGCAGTGGAGAGTCGCATGTCAGGGCTCGGTGTATGGAAGCTGTTAGCTAAGGACCCGGTCCTGGCTGCCTTGCACTTGGAGGGCTACCACTATCTGAACCCTCCTTGCAACAGCGACTTCCCTACCAACCCCACGTGCCAATACCCCAAGTGCCTGGACGCACGACAGCCTGCACCATGCTTGTGGGTGACCAGATGTAGGCGACTCGCATTGTTGGACACTTCGCCTCAATTGCCGCTCAACCCAGGTATCCCGACAAGTCGCTGCTGCCGCCTGCCGGGCCGCCAAAGCCGCTACCTCCAGCAGATTGCACCTGCGGCAGCTTCCCGGAAGCAAACCTTGGCACCAGGGGGTTTCTGGCCAAGTATTGCTCATCTTGCGCCTGCAGGTGAGTGGGTTGCCAACACGGCTGCCAACATCGTAGCGGGGTTTGAGCAGACACCTGCCTCCCAGTCGAAGCTGGTCAGCAAGGACCTTGCAGTGTCTTTGCGGAACAGGTGCATTTGCTGCTAGGTACAGGGAGGGGGATAGAGAGTGCAGAGAGGATTACAGAGCCATCGACACTTATGCTTTCTGCACTCTCTTTTATGTTTACGGCGCGAGTTCATGAGCTTGAAGATCCTCCTGGACTGCACACGTGCACACATGCACAAGCAGTGTTAGCTCCACGTGGGCTCTTTAGTCCAGCAAGCCTGCGCCAGTCGTGCTGGCCCTGAAGGACGCGTTCCACGATGTTTCCGATGTAAGGCCGTTCCACTTGCCACACATCTTCGAACCAAAGCCTCGCGGCGATGACTGGATCAAAACGTAAATTCAAACTGTCAGTTGCAAAGGGCTGCAGCATGCCAAGGTCTTGTCATTGACATGCGTTTAAGGCCCGGAACTGCGTGCACGGACCCGGCAAAGTGCTACATCAATGCCACCACTGTGTCGATGCCCATCTACGACTTCAAGGATTACAGTTTTGGGGCTTACGAAGCGCAGAGCAGGCTTTTGTTGTTCCGGCGGTGTCAGGACGACTTCGATACTGGCCTTTGGCCCGTCACTGCCAGCGAGTTCCGCAGCCCAGCTAAAAAAGTTTTTGGCCTGCGGAAGCTGCTTCATGTCGGGGCCGAGGTACCAAGTTCAAGTCCCGCGAAGCTTTGCAACAGGCTGCAGCAACGTTCTGTTGTCCTCGAGCTGGGATTTGGAACCCTGTTTTTCTGACGATCGTATGGGCATCGAGACGACATGAAGCAGTGTCTCCCAGGAAAATCGGCCTTCAGCATCCATAGTCTTTCCCTCTCGGAATATTTTTACGACTTCCGAGGTCTTTTGAACTGTCTTTGCGGGTCCTTGTTTGGAGACTTGCTCAGACTGAAACAGGCAGCGGGGCTCCCGAATGTCAACTACACCGCCACGGCAAGTTGGCTGCAGCCCTCTTGTTCGAACCCTTCGTTCCGGTTGGAAATTACCTGTCATTACAGATGGTCTCGCATTGACCCTTGCTTGTCCTGACGGTGGGTGGGGTGGCTCATCGTGAGGACAAGGGGTTGTAAGCGCACAAGCACTGGCACCTACTATGCACTCCGCTTTTTATGAAGTTTCCCACGATGTTGTGCAATAGCAAGCTTCCTCGCGGGCCTCACAGCGCTCGTCAGCTTGTCGGCCGGGTCCAGTAGTTTCAGATTATGACGCAAGAGCTAGTGGACTCATGCACAGCATGCATTCGGGTTTGCAGTTCTTAATGTTGTGCTCGTAGAGTCTTGGGAGCAACAGCTTGCACAGCGCTTGTTCCTTGAAAGCTGCGGGTCCCGAAGTCCCCGTTGTTCGTGTCCGGCGAGCTCTCCTTCCTCGCGTCTTCGAACCGCCGGCAATTCGATTCGAGATGAACCGAGGATGAGTCGAACACCAAGATCTGCCAGTCCATCAACCAGGCCATTCAGTTCGCGCATGCTGTCTACGTGCATGTGTCTGTGTTCGTGTCGGCGTAAGTGCACACGTACACATACATGATTTTTTTGTACGAATATCTGCAAACGTGTCCACAAACTCCAGTCTGCATCATTTGATGCTTCAGGGCCTTGCGCCACGGGCCGGTTCCCTGTCACCAGTGCGCAGCAGTATTGTACCTACTCTGCCCAGGTCAACAAACAGATGTACATGTCCGCATATATACGCGTTTGCAGGCACTCATTTTTGCCATAGATTGCCGTGTAGCACACGTGTGTGCGCAGGGACATGAGCGACTCGTCGTGCCGGCAGCTGCTCCGGCTCGACGTCGCTTTTTCGGTGACCAGGCGTTCTGTAGCATCCTCCCGGCTGAGCCATGTCCTTCTCGCCGGCAGACATCGAGGCGGCCTTTGTGGTGATCCTGGCGGCGCTGGAGGAAGGGGAGGACTTGGGTCCCTACCTCCAGCAGTGCCCGCCGGGCCCCCGGCGGTCCTTGATGCTGATGCTACAGGCGTCCTTGCCGGGCCGGACGGCGGGGAATGCGAACCCGGCAATGCCTAAGGCAAAGCAGCCGGCAGCTGGCCCGGCACTGGTGGCGCTTCCGGGTCAAATGATGGAGCTCCCGGCGGCACCGGTGCCTCTGGTTCCAACGATGTGGCGGCGTCCAGTGCGGCAGGGCACGCCGTCCCGGAGCCTAACCCGGAGCCGCCGGCGGCGGCGCAGGTACAGGGCCTCCGAGGGCTTCAACTCGGAGGCGGATGCCCGGCAGGCCAGGGAGCTGAACTTTGTCTCCGCGGCGGAGTTCTACGCGGCCTGGGCGGCGGCTTCCGCAAAGCAGTCATCCTTCCCGCCGGCGAAGCCGGCTCCGGTGGCGAAGACGCCGGCCCCCAACTCAGCGGAGATGACGGCGCTGCAGAACCAGATTGCAGCAGAGATCGCGGCGAGGGCCCCGGCACAGCCGGCTTCCACCGGCCCCGCTGCCCAGGCGCCCGTCCCCCCCGGTTTCGTCCGCATGGAGATTCGCGGCGTTACCTACACGGTCAACCGGACCACGGGGGAGGGCTTCCCGGAGTTGCCACGGCGTCCTGGCCGGACGGCGACGGACGCAGAGCGCCGCCACAACGATGAGCTCTTTCGGCGGCTGGTGGATGTTCGCTTCAGGCTCTGCTCCGTCGAGTGGCAGAACCACATTCGGCGGATTAACCAGCCTGGCGCCTCTTCGGATATCCCGGTCCCGGCGGCGATGATGGCTTCCATCGTCGCCTCGGTGGAGGCCCTCGAGGAGCTCGAAGACCGGGCGAGGCTTGACGGCGGTGCATCCACGGCCGTGGTGCCCACGGCGCCCGGCGCAGCGGATTACATAGTCCGCTCGCTGGTGCCTAACCATCGCGGCGGTCGCATCCCTGAGCGGCTGGCCGGCGAGGTCTGGTGCGTGGGCTGGTGTGGACGGCCATGCCCCGGCTTTGAAGGCGTCTGCCAAAGCCCCGGCGGCAGATGCCTACGCCCGGTTCTGATTCGGCGTGGTGGCACGGAGGACCTGGAGGCGCACAACAACCACCTGTGCGATGCGTGCCGGCGCTACCGGAACACGCGTGACGGCCGGTTCTAGTGCCACCCGCCGGCGGGCTATACTTTGACCTCGGCGAGCCCTACCTCTTCCTGGCGATCACCCGCATGGTAGGTCTCCTGGCGTAGCCCTCAGCCGGTTTCTTACCCTTTTTGGTCCCGGCGGCGCCGCGATGCCTTCGCGGGCCTCTCCGGCGGCCGCAGGCCCACGATGCTTTAATTAGTTTCTGCCGTTGCTTCCCGGCGTGCCGTAAGTGCAGGTCGGGAGGCCCAAGAGCCTCGGATCATAGCCTGGCGCGAAAAGTCGGCCCGGCGGTGTGTGACTGGAGTGCAGTCAGCGTAGTGGCAGTGCTGCCGCCCACCCGGCCCGGCCCCTCCTCCCCTAATCGTCGTGGCCCGTTCGTTGAGGTCGTAGCGGCTCCCCGGTTCAAGGATGTCGGCGGTTGACCTCTCGGCCGGCGGCGGGTTCGCGCAGGTGGCGCGGGCCTTCGTCGACATCCAGGCTCAAGAGTTCCTGCCGATCCTGCCGGCGGTGGGGGTGCGCGACCTCCGAGGCGCCTTGGACAATACCGGCGCGTTGCTCCTGGCCGGAGTGCCGGAAGAGGTGCTCCTTAGGTTGGGGGCGTGGCGCCCGGCACCGGCCGCGGCGCCCAGCCAGGCGGAGAGCAGGTTGGCCCTCCAGGCGCATGGTGGAGTGGAGCCGTGCCAGGCGCAGCCGGTCAGGGCTGACATCCCGGTGCGGCGCGACGGTCGGCGAGCCTGCAAGAGGACGGCCCTGCAGGCGGCCTTGCCAGAGCTCCAGGCGGAGTCGTTGGCGGACCAGACGGCGCTTTTCTGGCGCGCTCCTCTGAAGGACCCTTCCGGTCCAGGGTCCGAACTTGGGTGGACTTCACGGCGGCCTGGGCCCTGCCGGCGTGGCCGATCTCCCTGGACTCAGTGAGGAAGGTCGCGGCGAGCATGCGGAGGGGTAGGTACCGCTCGGCGCAAAACTACTTCGACGCGGCGGCTACCAGGAACACGCATGGCAGGAGCAGCCTGCTCGACGCCACTGCTGGGTGAAAGGCCATGCCCTCCGGGAGCAGCGTGCTCGCCGCCGCCCTGGCCCCTTCTTGGTCCAGACCAGGGGGGCGCCGGTGGCCGGGTCCTCCGTGTGCTGCCGGAGGTCCGCCGAGAGCCACCACAGTCTCGGCCGCGAAATCCACCCAAAATCGGAGGCGCATACCAGCGCCGGTTCCACGCCGAGGCATTCGGACACCTCCTTGGCCGACGCCGGCTGCATGACCACATTCTCAAACATGAAGCCGACCCGCCAACCACGAAGCGCCGCCCTCAGCTCCAGGACGAACTCCGCCGAGCGCAAGAACAGGCTGCCGCGAGCAGCCTCTGCGCCGATTTGGGAGAAATCTTGGCAAGGGGGCGCCGCGATGAGGAGGATCACACACTCACCGGCCGGGTCCAGGTGCCTGATCTCCGCCGCCACCTTCTCCACCGAGTCCGCGGTGAAGTCGCCCCTCTGCCGGAGCCAGGGCAGCCGGATGGATGTCAAGCGCCGGCAAGTCTTGTCTGTCTCCCACGCCATGGCCGCCCACGATGTGCCGAAGAGGTCCTCGAGGATCGCCGGCGCCGCCCCGACGCCGTCAAAGAGGGAGAGCAGGATGTACTTGCCGTTCCTGCACGCCGCCCTGGCCGGCTTCAACGCCACCGCCTGCGCGGCCGGGCTCCGGTCGGGTACCCCACCCGAGGCCGAAGCGCCGGGCAGGCCCCGTGCTGTCCCTAGCGCCTGTGCTTCTGCGGGCGGTCGCCGTCCTGCGCCTGGGAGTCTCTCTTCCCCCGGTCGGCATTAGCCCACCGCCGATCATCATGCCAGTCCTGGCGGCCGGGCTGCTGGTTGGAGTCGCCCCGAGGGCGCCAGAACGGCCGCCAGCCGCCACCACCGCCTCCGCGGCTGTCCGAGCCACCCTCATCGCCGCGGTGCTGGTGCTGCTGTTGCGCCTGGCGGGGGTTGTTGCGGCGCCGCCGGTTCTTCTTGATCTTCTGCGGCCCGGGCCCGTACCCCTGGTGCGCCGCGGGGCCTGGCGGGCCGTCCGTCTCCGGGTCTGGCGGGTTGAAGCCCTCGCTGACCTTGTTCCTCGCCGGAGGTCCTTCATGATCTCCGCCGTGACCTCCTCAAACGTCCGGCGAAGGCGCAGTACTCCGTGATCGCCTCGAGCTGGGACGTCCACCACTGGGCGTACTCCGCCGCCCCCTTCTCCGTGGCCACGCCGGTGAGGGTCCACGCCCAGCGCACCGCCTCGATGCCGTCGATGACGCCGAGGACCCCCCTCGGAGTCCAAGGGTCCTCCCGGTCATGGACCAGTGCGCCGTCCACCAACCGGATCGCCTGGCCCCTCTCCTTGTGGCGCCGGATCGCCAGCGGGTTCACCTCCATGGCCGCCGTGAAGGTGCGCCGCTGCAAGATCTCTCCCAAGCCGACCGCCGTGTACTCCTTCGACTTGGTGTGCTCGAAGTACATGCGCGCCAGATGGCCTCGACGACCGCCTGCTCCGCCTCCGCACGGTGCCGGCGATCTCCACCCCATCCAGGAAGGGCCGGACGACGCGGTCCTCAAACTCCGGCCAGGAGTGTGCGATGGCGGTTCAGGTTGCGGGCCGCCAGGTAGGCCGGCCCGCCGCTTTCAGCCGGGACACATGGCGCAGCAGCGTGTGCCGGGCACATCGGCCGGGGACTGGATGCCACAAGCGCAGCGGAGCTGCCGCGCCGTGAGTTCTCTCTCACCACCCTGCGCCGTCTTGTGCAGGGGGATCCGAAGAAGGACCCAGTCCTCGCCGGCCTCAATGTCCTCAGTGCGGGCCGCCGCGAATTCGATTTCCGGCAGCATGAACCACACCGCCACAAGAAGGGCATCCGCCGAGTGCGTGGCGGACTCCCGGCAATTCGCCCGATTTCCGGCGGGTTCCTTCCAAGGCCAATGTGGCGGATGCGGTGTCCCGCGGCGACCTGGCCACGGCCGAGGCGATGGGCTGGACCAGAGTACGCACACCGGCGGCCAAGATCTGCGCCATCCTTGCGAAGACCGCCGGCGACCTCGAGTTCGCCATCCAGGGAGCGGCGGCGGAGCTGAGAACTTGTGCTATTTGAGTTTTCCTGTAGTTCGGCTGTGCCGGCGCTGTGTGGGGGTGGGGAGCGCCGGGCGGGTAGCTCAAAGCTTCCCCGGCGCCGGCCAGCCTAGTTTTGGGCGGAGGCGACGGACCCGGCGCGATGCGCATTCTTCCCATACAAAAGAAGGGAATCCGTCGTCTCGTGCTAGCCTTTTCGGCGTTGCCCTAAACGTCGATAGCATATGTCGTGTAGCACACGTGTGTGTGCAGGGACATGAGCGACTCGTCGTGCCGGCAGCTGCTCCCGCTCGACGTCGCTTTTTCGGCCCACCCTCTACCACCCTCGTGTTGGGAGTGGGGAGGAGGCCTCCCCAGTATCGGCGAAGCCGTTTGCTGACAGACCTGAGGGTCGTCCCCCGCCCACGGGCGGCGCGTCGGGAAGCTCAAAGCTTCCCCGGCGCCGGCCAGCCTAGTTTTGGGCGGAGGCGACGGACCCGGCGCGATGCGCATTCTTCCCATACAAAAGAAGGGAATCCGTCGTCTCGTGCTAGCCTTTTCGGCGTTGCCCTAAACGTCGATAGCATATGTCTTTTGCGCATGCTTGTACATCTGTACCTGGATACATGAGAAAGGAGGTGACGCATCCCTCAATCAACACGAATGTGTGCATTTTATGTAGGCCTGTAAGATTCCTTAGGCACCCACACACACACATATGTTCATACACATGTTTGCACAGGGTTTGCACGTACAGTAAAAATCTAGCTAGCTAAACTGCTAAACCAGAGGGTCTTACAAGAACGAATGTGCAGTTGTATTGTCAAGCGCATGAACAAGGTCAGCACATGTACATGTATGCACACAAGATAGATGGACAGGTAGATCGATAGATTCGATAGATAGGTAGATAGTGAAGATAGGTAGATGGAAAGAAAGATAGATGGATAGATAGATCGTCAACGAAATAAGAGACATCCAGCTCAGCCTACGAACGCACAGATGCGTAAGTAGTTGAGCAAGGTTTTTTGCTGTTTGGCCGTTTGGCATACAGGGTCTTCAATGACGCAGGGTTTCCTCTGAAAGAAGGTCTTCTGTTACACAGGGTGCTCTGTGACGCAAAAGTCTTCTGTGGCTATGGCTTTAGAGTTCTGATTTTGCAATGGCTTGGCTTGTTTTGGTTGGCTTTGGCGTGGTCTGGCTTAGACGGAACTCTCTCTAAAGCACGCTGCAGGCTGCCTACGACTGGGCCCTTAAATCGGCCTCCAGCAAGGTGCGGGCTGGTTCGGCTATAGGAGTGGTCAGCTCGCAACGCCAAGACCCTGTAGCCGGTAACGGAATCCATGAAGGAAGCTGAGGACAGCTGTTCAGGTCACTTGCAGATTAGAGGTGCTAACTCCTGCGACATCTCGAATGCAGAGTGTTGGCTTTGACGTGTCAGGCCTTCTCGTCTAGTCTCGTCACACGTTGGAAACTCCGCGGCCCTTGCGAAATTGCCAGGCTGCAGAGTTTCTGAACCCTCCTCCAGCCAGCCGCCAGCCTTTCTAGTGACTTTGTAAATATCGGTGACATGTTATGCATATCAGTCTGACGAGTGAAGACGGTGTCCGAATCAGCAGTGCTTCAACTTTTCGCCCCGCATTCCTTCAAAGCCTGAACTTCACAAAATGGTGTGAGCACTCACGGCATGTTGTTATGCTTTCAGGCACGTGAACGTTTTCTCAAGCACGGCCAGCCGTACGTCTTCCTCGAGGAATTATGGGGACTACACGGTTAAAAGACACCATGCGAACTGTGTTTGCAAGTACAGCAACCGCACTGGTTAGAATCAACTATCTGCTCACATGTCCATAGTAATGACTGCTCCATTTGGAGAAGCTCGCGTCCCGCACTTCGGCAAGCTATCCAAGAAATTATATTTATGCCCAATGCTCGCGAGTGTAGTAGCAGCAATCTGCTGACCAGGGCAGGGCGACTGAAAGTCATCGTTATCTGCATGATAAGCATCCTCGTCGAGTGCAGACTTGGCGTCAGAAGCTGTGCTATCACAGGTAGGCGATTACCAGCATCGTGCAACTGCTCAGCTTCACTCTTGCGCTCACAGACGATCGCAGGACAAGAAGTCTGGCTTTGGAGTTACCGGCCCGACGTGGATCCATGATGCACTTTCATACACCCCCAGCAAGGACGGCGTAGAGGTTCGGCAAGGATGTGTTGGAGAGTCCAGAACCGAAGCAATCCTTGCAGGACAAAAAGACAGTCGAGGTGCAGTCCCACTACTTCCCTTTGAAAAACAAGAGCTTTGACTGCTAAAAGCTTGTGAGATGCCCGTTGTGAGCTTGCGGGGCACTGATGCTGTGTAGCAGCGCCGGCTGCTCATGTGGTTGAATGGTTGTATTGAGTCGCGCGATTGTTTCGGTTGGCTTGGAGGAATCTGGGAGACGTGTCGCTTGGCCCAGAAGATTGCTCTGTTTAGGGTTTGGTCTTTCGGAGTGACGGTCTCAAGGACCTGTAAGGCGGAAAGACTAGTTGGAGTAAAAGGAGACTGAGAAGCCAGAGACAGCTATCCGTTTGCAAGGGCTTGCTCGCCGCTGCTTTTGCTTGATCGTGAGATTGCAACTTGTCTTGCTCACAGTGTGTGGGATGAGTGCTTGCAACCAAGGCCTTTTATCCAAACTGTCGGCTACCACTATTGCAAGCTCTTGTCGCCAGCTCGGGCTATGGAGTGGATTTACGTGGATGGCTTGAAGGAGAGTGCCTAAACATTGCTGTTGGTTGTCACGGGACGTTGCAGGGATACTCATCGAATCTGCAGGAATTCTACGGCACCCATGATTCTGGGATGGAGATCCTGATGTAGCCTGCTTGGCGGGCGACTGCTGCTGCGTGCCGATGAGCCCCGCCATAAAAAAGTCGAGAGCATCTCTCGCCGTGTGGCGTATTGGCCGGTTCATTCCTGGACGCGCTGCTGCCCACCTTCAGTGTCAAGGGAAGGGTGAACCTGCGCCTCTTGTGCTTGGCGAGACGGACGCAGAGACTGTGACTCTTAGGCGCTCTTCTTTGTTTTTCCGAGCATTTCCGTGCTCGCTGCTCGCTGCAGCTTCCAGGCAGCTTCCTGTATTTGGCAGCACTTAGGAGTGCTTTTGTCGGATCCAGAAAGCTTCGGCCACAAAGGTGGGTCCGAGCGCCAAGGCACAGCTGTTCCATGCCGTGTGGCAGAAAAGAGGGGGTGGCATTTGTGAAGGGCCCATGCTGCACCAAGCATAGATGAGTTACGTGAACACCTGCTTGAAGGCGTGCTGTTTACTGAGCCTGTAAAGCCCCTCGCGATTTCCTCACACCCAAAGTTATGGCGCAGCATCGGTATGATGTGTCCAAGCAGTAGACATGTCTCCTGTCCGGGGGTCGGCGCGGGAGCAGAGCCTTCGCAGAGCCTCCAGCGCAGGACCGCACCTGCCTTTGCGCGGAGGTCTGCTGCTGTCCCGGGCTTGCCGTAAGCGGCAACCGGTTCGGAAGCCCAACGTTTAGGTTTGGCTGCTGCCTAGCAAGATCCCGACATTGCGAGGGAGATCCTTCATGATTTGCCGAGGTTTATGGTGCAGACACGCTTCGATAAAGAGAACACGGCTTGCGATGATTGCATCATCACCGGCACATGCCTGTTTGTGGGGAGCCTACGTGCCGACGGGGCAGAAGCGAACGGCTACTAGTAGAGCTGGTTCAATCTCAGTTGTGAGCTGGCTACTGCAGCTTGCGGATTTTAGACCCAAGGTTTGGATAGTGGACATTGCGCGGCCCGTGCCCTAACTGGGAGTGCTTCAATTCTAGATCAGATCTCGCTCCGAACCGTTAGGTCTCGGACCTGTAGTAAAATGGCACTACGACCCCAGAGGCCACCCGCCACGCAGAAGCCGCCCAGGTGTTTCATCGACATTCCCAGGGAGATTGACGTGCTGGCAGACTGCGACCTGGCATGCACAGGGTGCGAGCAGTGGGAGAGATGTGTCATACCTTTGCAACACCGCGTGTGGTTCCGTGCTTGGCGCCGAGGCATCGTCCTGAGTGTGACAGGATGCATGCATGCACAGCAGCAGATTGAGATCGACGAGATCAAGAAGAATGGCTATCAAGGCCAGTCTAGCGAGAACGGGCTCAGGCTTGGGCGCAGAGGGGCTGCATGCAGCAGAGGCATGCCTCCACTCATCATGAACTCGCTGCCGCCAGCGCAGCAGATGATGTTTCAGAAGGCAGGGCAGGTTCTCTGCCCAGACAAGCTTTCTTACACTGTGGATTGAGTGCGGAAGGTGGGCATTAATGGTGCCGGCGGAGGCATGCACCCGGCGATGGTTGGGGCGCCCCAAGCACAGTGCCCCCGGAAGCATTGCCTGTCGAGTCGTGAGCTTGTTTGCCTTGCGAATTGGTTTGGTGACGCCAACGGGCGAGGGGCCATGTCTGCGAGACCTGCCTTGCAGTCGAGACGACCTGGTTGCGCTTTACCGGCCCGAGTAGTGAGTTTCTTTTGCGAGGTACATGGACCAGTATCCGCAGTACCCACAGTACCAGCCCCAGCTTTCATGGCACGAGAGAAAAATGCTTCGCCAGCGCTCCCTTTGATAGAGCGGCTCGCGGGGGCGTGTTGCGCGGCAGCAGACTGTTCTGCTGTTCTCGGCGGGAGCACGGGGGTGTTTGTGGCATCTGTGGGCGTCTAGGCCCTTCGTGGATAGGTGGTGATGGCACCCACGAAGAGCCTATCCAATGTAGCCCGCCTCGACGCATGTCGAACTTGTTAGCCCTCCGTCCCGCAGGCAGGGAATGCCAGTTCAAGGAGTTCCGGTTGTGCAAGCAACTGTGGTACGGTGAGGCGGGGAAGTGCATTGAATAGGCAGAGTCCAGGATTTGCCCACATTGCTTTCTCTTGGTTTGGCAGTTTAGCAACTGGGAGCGCTGGTGGGGTAAGCAAGTAGTACACGTTCCAAAATACAGGATGCCGGACAAGCACCTTGCTTTTATGGGTTTCGAGGATGTTGGGAGTCACAGTGCTTGCGCTCAAGTGCGAGAGTGGATTCCCATTCCCGTCCTCTGAACTCAAGTTGATGCCTACTTGATACCTCACGAACTTCTCTTAGTTGCCGTAAGTTTTACTGGCTGCTGGCTCCTCTTTGAGTCTGTGAACAGCCCCAAAGGAACCGCCTGAATCCCTGAACCCCAAGCCCGAACCCTGCGGCCAGGTTCGGCCGCCGCGTCCTCAGATGTCGAGTCCCAGGTGCCCGCATGGTTTGTCCCAGTTCTACTTTGTAACGGCATTTGTTGCGCAACCCTCGTGCCGATCGCCTTTCTTGCATCTTCTTACTCTGCCAGACTGCAAACCGTGGCCAAGGTCGCGTGCCCCTTTGGCCGAAGGCCGAAGCAGACTTGAGCTGGGCACGTACGTGAGACCGTAGTTCGCTTGCGTATGGTGCCAGTCAGGTGGTGTTTGTTGTCAGTGCCGGCCTTGCAATGTCTTGCATATCGTCTTCCGAATAGCACAGGCTAGTTCACTTCGAAAATTCAGTCTCCTACAGGTTGCAAATCCGTTAGCCGTTGCACTTCCGATATCTCTGATGTCTGTGAGGCCTTCATTCGGAAGACTTCCGAAGGAGGTGCCTTAAAGGGCGCGACAAGACCGGCAGTTGGACCCGCACGAGAATGCTGCAGAATTTGAGCACGAGGCCCCAGGATAAACACACTCGGTCAGCTTTCAAGACGCTTTAGGCTTCGCCTCCTGTGCACAAGCGGAAGCAGGGACCCTCAAACCACAGCAATTATAGCAAGAAGGATGTTGGGCGCGTGTCAGAACAACGGTTGGCAGCGTTGGTAAAACTCATTGGATCCTAAACATGATGCCGTGCCCGATTTTCACTGATCACGCAAGCGCTAAGCGCTACGCGAGAGCAGCCACTGCTTTTCTGAAAGCAGCTCATGCGACTGTCGATGCTGTGTTGTTGGTGGACACCTGCAGCAGATCGTCCCGCCCTAACCAGATGTGCCCTTTTCCCGACCCCGACAGCTAGGAAGTGCACAGTTCACGCTCACAGCAAGCAGTCATCTCGGAGTCGTGCTAGTAGCGAGCCTCGGACATCTCAGTCAGAGTCACAGGCCTTTGGATGCCGTCCGATGCTCGCCATGGCATGACACAGACCAAACATGCCGCTCATTGCCTCAAAAGAGCCGTCAGAGACGAAGCGGAGCCAGGGAATTTGAGGTTCAACGTGTGCCTTTCAGGAGGCGACAGCCGTACGGCCTGTCGAGGCCTCGCCCAGCTCCCCCGGGCGCCGGCGACCCAGCGTAAGGGTCACTGCCTGCACTGGCATTTTCGGTTTGATCTCCATTTCGGCAATGAAGAGAAGTGTCAGTCATGTCACGTCAGTTAGACACATTTTCCTGATTGCTCAGATTCATTGTCTAGGCCATGGCACTGTTTTTGATTTTCGTTTATTCGATCCTTGCCTTTCGAAGGCAGCTCTCGTGCACTTTCGACACCGTGGGGTGAGATGGAGGCATTTACCAATCGGCAGTTGCGTTTACATGAAGATTGATGTAGATTGTACTTCTTCTTATGCGAAATGAGTGTGAGCCACGTGTTGCTCAGAGCCAGGCAGCCAAACCCGAGTCCACGCCGCAGTCGTGCTTGTGCCTGAGTCGATGCAGTAAAGGGTGGTCCAGCTCCAGCTCAGGGAAGGGTGCATGCATCTGGATCGAGTGAGAGGGAGGTCGGTGTTTTCAGCTCTGATCCACTCGCGTTGCACAGTTGGTGCCGACCGGGCGTGAGATGTCTCTCTCTCTCTCTCTCTCTCTTTTCTCTCTCTCTCTCTCTCTCTTTTTTCTCTCTCTCTCTCTCTCTCTCTCTCTCTCTTTTTTTTCTCTCTCTCTCTCTCTCTCTCTCTTCTCTCTCTCTCTCTCTTTTCTCTCTCGCTCTCTCTCTCTCTCTTTTCTCTCTCTCTCTCTCTCTTTTCTCTCTCTCTCTCTCTCTTTTCTCTCTCTCTCTCTCTCTTATCTTTGTCTTGTCTATGTGTCTAAAGAACCATGCCTTCGTGCTTGTCGGTGTGATGTCGGCATGTACCGGTTCAACAAAAGTTTGCACGCACTGTGGCGTGGCTGTTATATGTGCGTGCTGTGCTGTATCTGGACGAAAAATGCTGCATGCACGTCGTGTATGTTAGTGGGATGCGAGTGGTATGCTCGCTACGCAATACCGTCCTGTTGCCGATATGCAATGCTGTAACGTGCTGTTACAATGTCATGCTCAGGTAATTTTAACGCTACGCCGCCCGCCTCGGCTGTGTAGCGGCAGGGCGAGGGGGCAGTCGATGTTTTTTAATGCTAGGGCGGCCTGTCAAACCCCAACCTTTACACGGTTGTTGATACGAGGAGAACGGTGGGGGGGGGGGGAGGGGGGGGGGGGGGGGGGGGGGGGGGGGGGGGGGGGGGGGGGGGTGGGGGTGAAACACTGAATGTTACACATCCAGGTGCCTGTCTGTTTCACGTATCACTTGCATGTATCCATGCCTGTTGCTCAAGGTTCTAGTGCAGTGGACTACAGCTGTGCGCCTGTAGCAAAAGAGACACCTGAGTGCCTGTGTTCCTGTACGCCTAGCGAGGGGATACACGTCCAGGTTACATCTCAACGTGGTAGCGGAGCTCCCGGGAAACGGGAAGCTTCACACTTGTGGAGGTACCCGTTCGGTACTCTCTACACAGGTGGAGGCAACCGGAATACCCGGTGTGCTTCACTCAGGTGAAGGTGACCGGAGTCTCTCCGGCACACTTCACTCAGGTGAAGATAACCGGAAGAGGTTTCTCCCGGGGCTCGATCCAAGAACA